CAGCCGAGCGGGCACCACAGTTATTTACCCCCTTACAGCTTTTAGTAGGCGGGACAGACGCTTAAGCCGGCCAAGCTGACAGTAATCTAGTGAGACTCCCCACAGGGATAGATCGATCTAAAAATCTATGGAAATGGGGTGTTACTTTAAAAAAAATAATGTTTTAATTCTTACCGCATTCTGCTTTAGCAGGTCTGATTTCTCATGCTTCAGTTTGCCAATGTCCACTTTCAGAACTTCTATCTGCTTTAAAATATCTGTAAACAAATAAAAGGACAAACTTTTACAATTAATTGAAAAATACTACAAAAATGCCTTCTCAGTTAAAACATGGAACTACATGATGTGCCATAGAATTGAAATTCATTCTTCAGCTAAGGTGATTTCACTTAGAATAGATTCAGATGAAATGAAAAACTTGCATCAAAGTATTTTTATCCAATTTAATACTTCTTTTCAAAATCAATTCTTTTGCAAATCATTCTCAAAACTCACAAATGGTACACCTACCTTCATCTGTCATAAATGCTAAACTTGAGTGGTCCTCACTGAAGCTGTGAGAAAAGGATATTCTTTTACAATTTGGGGTCTCAGCAGATGACATGCTCTCCTAAAATGATAAAAAAATTAAGATAAAAACAGTAAAACCACCTTTCTCATAGTCACAATATCATTTACAATGTTTAATTTACTTTGCTGGGAAGCACTTAGACTAATTGGCACTGGGCAAGTCAAGGAGAGCAACCACCCACAAACCCATACACCCCCCCCCCCAATCCTTGTCTGCTCACCTACCTACAAACACACATTTTACTTCTCTTTACCTCCCCCCCCCCCCGCCACCTACTTGCTCATTCTGTATTTTATTTGCTTTCCATCCGCTACCTTCTACTTATCCACCCAGACACCCCACACACCCATTTACTCCCCCACCCACCCCACCTTCATTAAACACCCATCTGTCCACCTACCCACCCACCCCAGCCACTCACTCACTCACCCAACCACTTTTCTCACTCACTTAGTTTTAAATAATCTTTTATCGTTATCTGTTTTCCCTTACCAGTCCTGTGTCAGAGTCATCATGATCATGAATAAACTGCTGTTCCACAATTCCTTCATCTATAATGCTGTTGAAACTACTGGTAGAGTTGGAGGGAGATATCTGCATTTTGCTTTGACTTTGTCTGTAACACAAGGAAATTATTTTATTAATCAAATTCGTTTTAACTAATTATACCAACTTATAATTTATTCTTTAGTTCTCATAAGAAGATCAAATAATGCTATATGGGACTTGCCCCCTTCTTAATTAAACTTTGTTTAAAAAAAGGGTTCACTATCAGCTCTGTTAGAGAAGCTATGAGGAAAAGGGACTACAGGTCCTAATTGACTGATTGTAACTGTTTATAAAAAAACTGAACAAATGTAACTCACCTTGATTTTCCACTACTTCCTTGACTAGAGGCTGGGCTGGAGGGGGGACTGCAGGTCTTAAATGACTGATTGATACTACTCGCACTTGGACTGTCTGATAAACGACATTGGCAGCTGCTACAAACAAATATTTTAAAAGGTGAATATTTTTTTTCCTTTTCACATTTTCAGAAATTTTGTACAGTGCTGAGCCTTATTTTGCTCAAGTAAAGAAATTCAGAACCTTAATTTTGCCTTTCAGGTATCAAGGAGAATGCTTACCTTTTATCTGAACTGTTATCTTTTTCTTTCCTGTCAAAGGCTGCACTAGAGAAACGACGTGCCAAACTCTTCATTGCTTTCTTGCCCTAGATAGAATAATAATTGGTTAAAATATTTCATTTGAGAATTTTTTTACCTTGGAAACTGGATTTAGAGAAAAAAAGCATATGATTAAGCTTATTAGTATCTTTTGTACATTAATAGGCTAACATGATGTTTGTTCCGTTACAGTTTGTTTGACTTGAACAATGTAAACAGTGTCAAACAGATTGACAGATAAAATGTAGAAAGTAAACAAAATAACATTATAAAAATAAAACAGGACTTACTGCAGATGGGGACTTGTTTGTCTCTCCCACTGTTGCTAGAGGGGAGGGTGGGGCAAGTACTGATTTTCTTGACGCTTGCAAGGAACCATTATCTATCGTCTGCGTACGCACTCGCCCAGTCAGTTTTTTAAATGTTTCCACCAATCGGCTGCTTTCTGTCTTTCCATTGATTGGGTAAGATAACAGTGACGTGTTCTTTCTCAGCAAGTCTTGATACAGTGTTTCTAGCAAGGCTGCCCGAGTTCGATCCTGAAAGTTGAATGTTACATTTTTTTAAAATTCATTTTAAGATTAATCGTTATCAATATGAATGTACAATAATAAACTATTTGCAAATAAGTTTAGGATTAATTTTTATGTACATAGAAAACATAACTCATAAAGAGATTAATTATAACCTATTTGAAAATATAATTATTTTTAATCTGTTCATACACTCATCCCTAATAAAAGTCAACATCTCTTCCTATAATGAGTACTGTTTATTCTTTCAAGTCTTTACTTATGTGAAATCTTTCAAACAAATATACTGGCAAACTTGGCTTTTAGATTCAAACTTACATTCAGTTTGGCAAAAGTCTGGGCCTTATAACATGAATTTTCTGCATTTATCAGTTTGGTCAGCAGAAACTCTCTGAATTCTGGTCCCTGAAATTATTCAAATAACAACTATAAACAAATGTGGAAATTATTTCTGACATTAATGGAAATAACCTCATAACCTCATGATTGATTATGAATATCAGATAAAGGAACTTGTGATATTTTGAAGGCATATGAGAGAGAGAGAGAGAGAGAGAGAGAGAGAGATGCATACCTTTACAATCACAGCAGGTGAAGGTAGCGTTGGTCCAAAAAATGGGACATCATCTCTTGCTGTTACAGACACCTGGAAGCAACAATCAAATGCAAGTCAAAACAATGTGATATCAGATATATACAGTCTTCAATATTAGAATACATGCGCTAAACCTAACAATTAAATATATATCAGGAACATTTACTTTTTCATTGTCTGGTCCATCCCCTTTTACTTAATATAATGCATGTTTTACAGACTTGTTTTAAAAATCTACCTTTGAGTGTGTGTTTATAAAAGTAGAACACAATGAGAAATATGTGTAACTCTGATATTGAAACCTCACATTAGCAACTGACCAACGTTGCAATCTCAACCTCTCTCTAGGTAATGACCTGAATGGACCAGTCACCTGATTTACTGGCATACAGATGTGTCAATAACATTTTGCCATCCTCTCCCGCACTTTACTTAAGAAAATGCACACTTTTTTAACGGGGGCATATACATTTTTTTTCAGTACAAACTGAAACTTCCTCACAGACATATGAATCCTTTTAATATAATGTAACCATGATACCTGCAGATAAACTTACCTTGTAAGCTACATTTTCTGTATTGGCATTGATTGGCTGTATAACTATGAAGGTGTGCAGGAAGTGGGAAGCTATCATATCAGGCACAAAAGGCGTGTTCTCATCTTGAAACACTATGGACACTATGTCGTTGCCTATGTGCCTCTTCCTCTGCAACTGAAATGTGAAAAAAAGGACATGCTGAATAGATGTGGCACTGGGTCGTATTTGTGTCAGCCTCGCACAGCTGATTTTAGTTGACTGATGGATTTGTGGTTTTCTGTTCAACAGTCTCTAGCTGCATGGTACAGAAGTGAAACAGGTGTAAGTAAATATATATAAATCATAAGATATGACAGAAGAGAAACAATGACACTGTGTTAGATATGACAGAAGATAACAGTGACATTGGTTTAGATGTGACAGTGAACGAAAGTATCAGGATAACAACGACAATTGCATAGCTAACAGAAGCAGTTGACTTTGTGCACCAATTTTTCATACCTGCTGTGGATCCATATCAGTGTAGGGTAACAATGTTGATACATGGAACATAATTTCTCTGTCTCGGAATTTTGTGTAAACAGATTCTTCTCCAGTCTGACCATGATTTGTATCCAAACCACCACGAAAACTAAAATCAAATAAATACATATTTATACATATGTAATTGGTACCTATATTGTATACACTTAGGTTTTGACAATAACTTGACATGTACATATTGTATACTGCATTTAGTATTACATACACAAGAACAATGCCATTGTGTTAAATGTGACAAAAGACAGTATCATAAATTAGGTATCAATCAATGTCGAAAATTTCCTTCAACGCACAATGTGCCTACCCTTTGAAATCTTTTAGCTGTATTCTCTGTCCCATGACGTTCAGGAACTCCTCCATAGCAGCACTATGCGTCCTGTTTCCAAATACTTCCTCTTCCTTTGTCTGAAAAGTTAACACGTAACATATTGTTAAATCTAAAAGGAAACAGGTGTATACACTTGCTACGTCATGATCTCACCTTCAAGTTGATAACGTGCCTAGCTGATCATGTAATTCCAATATGACAATGTGCACAATTTGCACTTGCCTTGTTGCAATATCTGGTTAAAAAGTTTTTTATTTGTTGCCAAGCTTAAAATCCACGTCAGAACATTAGAATTTCCCAGAAATTTGCAAATTGAAAATTTCTCATCAATTTGAAAGTCAGTGCAATGTTTTCATATTTGGTTACCAAAACAATGTATAATTGAATATTTACAACAATAATTTTAAACTTTTTGAAACTTGATCAATATCTATCCTACAATAAGGCACACAGCAAATGTTTAACATAAATTTAACAGTTATCAAGAGCAAAAAATAGATAAAGAAATGTAAAATCTTACCTGCCCAAATCTTTGGTATATGACCCCAAACTTAAAAGTATTTGTCAGAATGTGTTCATCGTAGTTGACTATCATTTCTGATCCCTTCAAATTGAAAAATATTTATCAATTTAAACATCCCTACATACTGTGATTATACTACTGATAATCATTCATAATCAAGAATAACTTCTGACAGAACTGTTGTCCACTCCACGTCCACATAAAAAATTGTAAATGTATAAGTATATAATTTAGTATAATATCTTAATAAATTTTGTTCTGGCTGCTTGCCTTGATACAAAGAGGACTGGTTAAGGAATAAATTTGTTAAATAATTGGCTGAACTGCTTTTGGACAACAATACACCAAAGACTTATTCTTAATCAAATATATGTATTGTAATATTTATATATTCAAATGAATGGCTTTCAACAAATAAAGTATGGTGACCTATTTAAAAACTCAATAAGACCCATAATCAAAATGCGATAGTTGACTTATAATAGTTAAATCAACAACTTTATTTCTATAGTAAAATATATAATACCAACCTTTGGAAACAATACAGGGTGAAAATGCTCAGTTGTGATATCATCGCATATCATTTTAGCCATGCGGGCAGGACTTGGAAGTGGTTCCAAGTTGCACACTGGGACAATCTCGTGCTGCGTGCCCCTGTGTGTTCTAAGGATAATACGAACATGTTCCTGGGAGGACACGTTTTCTGTCTTCACTGACATTATTATAGGGCCCAAGTTATCATCCATGGCATAAAAATTGAAATGTTCCTAGAATGGGAAAATATAAAACAATTTGTCACATTCTCCCTTTTGGAAATAATTTTTCAAGATAAATGAAGAATGAGTGAATCACTGATATAGACTTATTGTTCCAAAGGACTTTTTTCCATGATGAAAATTCATAGCATTAACAATCTAAAATCTCTTCTGATAAATCCAAAGCACAAGAATAAAAATCACTATGATACAGAAGGAGTCAAAATGCCATGCACTGTTAAGTTTGTTATTTAACAATTTTGTGTCAATACATAAAAAAATCTGTAAATATAACACCCACCTTCCCTAAGAAATGTCTCCTATAATTTAACACTGTTTCATCATCTTCAACCTTATAAGGCCCAACAGGTGTCGCCATAGTAGGGTTTCCCTCATTATCCAGAGGGCAGGAGTGATCAGTCCCATCTACCCAGTAACCACCTGCTGTAGGCACAGATATCATGGGGTAGGGGCCAGGACCCTTTAAAATCTAAAATCAAAATTGAAAATATTATCATTATGATTATGAGAGAGAGAGAGAGAGAGAGAGAGAGAGAGAGATATGATTCATCTGGTTATTCATATAAGTGGTTATGACATCTATCTCTTTCTACAGTATGTTTAAATCTGTACAAATACATCTGAAGTGATGGAATTGGATTAGTACCAACTATGACCAGTGGTGATAAAATATGCTTGTTGCCATGGTAACTATATAACGTACCATCTCCACTGTGCTCTCTGCTCTATGCTTTCTCTCTTGGCAACTAACCTATAAATAAAAAAAAATAACTAAATAAAAAATGTTATATTGTCATGGTAACTAAACTCCTATCACGCTTTTTTGCCTGTATAGGATAAATGAATTATTAACACGCTTCCACTTTTGCAAAGCTGTTGATAATACAGTGAAATTGAAAGGAAAGGTATATTTATGTGTTGTCTTAGTAACTAACTAAAGTTATTTTATGGATCTAAAGTTGTCTAAACTGATGTTTTTCTAAATGATTTTGATAACGCATATTCAGATCTTATGAAGATGAGTACAAATATATCTTCAGTTGTATTATAGGAGCAGTAAAACACATATTAAACATATATCTTAAATATAAAACATGTAAAGTGACAAATAGAGACTTATTTTGTGATCAGTTGTCATAGCAATGAATTAACACAGTCCAAGGCTCATATGGCCTTGTTCAGTTCATACAGAGAACTACTGCAGACTTCTTCTTAAGGAAATGTCTAGAATTACTGTGGGAGATATGATGACACCCATGCACCATATAACACATACACAGTGGTCGCATTCACAGCAAGAATAAGTTAAAATTAATAAAAGATAAGTCATAATCTCACATTGGCAGATGAGAAAATTACTTCTGTGATATAGATATTGGAATATTCAGGCAATTGCTGCATCTAAGTAATCCGGCACCCTTTCTCAAAAGAACTTAACTAAATTAAAAAAATTTAAATTTAAATTTAAATTAGACCAAAACAAATTAGAAAATATAAGTTGTGAATGTGACCATCCAACAGTTTCTACCTCCAGAGCATCAAGTGTATTAGCAACATCAGTGCCTTTACCACTTCCACAAATCTTACACCTACACCTTAATGATTTCAGCCACAGAATCACGTCATATATAATAACATATATAATAAAAGGAAAAACAAATGAATGAACAAACTGCTTATAGTCCTTGGTGTTTGCACACAATATATAACACCACTCATGAACGAACACACACACACACACACACACACACACACACACACACACACACACACACACACACACACACACACACACTGTGAGAGCATGCATGAACAGAAAGAGACACACTTTCACATATATCTATAAATACTTGCACATAGTCACACTATTTAGTTTTGATCTTACAGTGGCAAAAAAATATAAGCAAATGACAAATTGCTTATTTGGCACTTATATTAGCATAGGCACTCTGATCTATCAGTATCCCACAGTCACAACAATTAAAGGACATAGAGAACCACATGTATATAGCAATAGAGACATATAAATTTGTCGAGATGGAGGAATGTCATCCTTATCTGATACTTGCTGCAAAGTGATAACATATAACATGTGTAAAGTACTCAACAAAATAAAATCTATCCAGGTGTTCTTTAACTTAGAAACCTTAAAATCAAGGAACTTTTGTATAAATGATTTTTAACTAAACATATTATTATACCAGGTCAATGTTTGTAAATCAATAATTTGTAACCTCATGGTTTATTAACTGTGAATGTTTCACAAAAAAGCCAAATCATGCCATTATAATAGTTTTTTTTTGTTGAGTAAAGAACAGTAGTGCAGACGATGATAGCAGTACAAGATATATGGGCTATGCCTAACCTTCCCACAAGGCAGTTCACAACGCTGCTCTTCCATTCTTTGAGATTGCAATCTCAGCAAAATTTCAACAAAATCATATCGCTGGAAGAAATGATATAGAATAGTACTATTTATCTTTATTATTATTAATTACAGATCACTAACTCTCACTGTCTTAATTTTTGCTCCTCTTGACCATCAGGGAATTAGAAATGGGTACCTTTAAAGCTTGTTTAGGTTGATCAAAAATAGTACACTTTGCATCTCATTTGGCCTTTTTCTTCTTTTAGAGTGATTAGTACATCTTGCATGTGCACCTTAACAATCCTTTAACCTTTTAGTCAAGCCTGAGACTGGTAGGTCAAAGGTCAGTGGGTGACAATCAAAACTTGGTAACCTTAGAAAACAATGCAGATAACCCTTTCTAAAACTGTAGTCAGCTTTATGTTTCAAAGTTTTGCTTTTCGTAAGGTTCCAAAAACTAAGGATCACTTGGCCTTAAATCGATCCCTATTCCTAAAGGTTTGCTATTCCCAAGAAAAAAAGGTTTGTTATTGGGAAGGTTTTCTATTCTCAAGGTTTGATATTCCAAAAAAGTTTATTCATGCTGTAATATCAATTCACAAATTGCATTAGTTGCATAATCAGAGCGAGCACCGACCTCTTTGCCAAAGAAGCCATTTTGCTATGTGTACACTCATTTTTGAGGTTTTTACTATCTTTGCACCAATATCTGTACTCTTTGGATCTTCCTACTTATGAACCTTCAGAATACCAACTTTTCAGAAGAGCAGACCTTTGGAATAGGGAACCTTTGGGATAGCTAATCTTCTCAATACCACACCGTTGGGATATCGAACCTTCAGGATATGTAGCATATATATACCCTAACAACTCTTTCAGTAACCTGGTGAGAATCTGACATATTCTAACTCCAATGACACTCAATTCGCTTCTTTAGTGGATGATTATTAGATTCACATAAAATGCAGTTTCATTTGAATGGTGAAAGCTAACAAGCTAAGTATAATTAGCAAAGATTACACAGAATGTTTGTTCCTGTGAAAATACCACGAAAAAAGGAAAGTGCAAATTGCTCTTTCTTGTGGCAAGCTGGTTCAGTAACCTAGATTCACTACTTATGAAAGCAAGGCCTTTAACTGAATTATTACATAATCCTTATTATTACCAATCAGTAGGTCTTACCTGCACATTAAGCGGCATCTCACATCGCTGATCGTCAAAACGCTGACTCTGCATTCGCTCCAAGAGATCAAAGAAATCATTGGTCTAAAAAAGAAAAAGAATTTGAGTCAATTTTCTAATAACAATATGGTGTAATTATATGAATACCCCCAAAATTATGTGTTTTTTGGTAAAAAGCTTAAATATATTGAAATCATTGGTCTAAAAAAGAAAAAGAAATTGAGTCAATTTTCTAAAAACAATATGGTGTAATTATATGAATACCCCCAAAATTATGTCTGTTTTTTGGTAAAAAGCTTAAATATTCACACAAATTTACAGTGTTATGGTGGTTCACAAAACACCTATAATTGATATCTTCACTTCAACAGTGATGAGGATTTACTTTTTCAGAGCCACTGCACAGAAAATTTCACCGAGTTACGAGGAGCATCAATGAAAATATTTGAAGACTCTATATTAATAACTGATATTTCCCACAATAAGCAATCACCTCTTTGAAGGCTTCAGAAATTAACAGTGAAGTGTAAATAAAAAAATACAACTTACAGCTTTCCTGTCAACTTCAAGGTCCGCAAGCATCCTGGACGCCGGAACATGTTTCTCACAATAGACGTTCCCGTCCATTCCCTGGCGCCTGGAGAAAAAAATGGTGTTGCTAATAAACAAATAAGGCAACCTCAAATGTCTTATAGCTCTGTAATTCCATGTCTGTGGAAGCAGAAGATGCATTTAAAATTTTGTCTTATTGTGAAGTAGCACTATAATACATTCTCTGCCAAAAAAAAAAAAAGCAAAAATAAGTAAAATTACTCTCAAAAGTCCAAATAAAACTCTTTAAAAAAGCTTTAAAAAAGCAATAAAATGGCACATGTAATAACAACCTTTGGTTGGCAGTCGATCTTTTCAATGTCAGTGGCAAACAGGTAAGCAAAAGGCGAGGCATAATGCAATTTTAAATATTAAACTGATCTTTACATAAAACTAACAGCCCTCGATTCTGATCCCACCAATACTAATCGCTCTTACTGAATGCTGATCTTTTATTTCAACGTCATTGCAGGTTAATTGACTTTCAATCGATGAATGTCAATCATAAGAAACTCTAAGCCAATCAGTGCAAAGTGTCTTAATTGCATGTCACCAAAGGCAGTACTCATTGGGCAGATTTCTTCAGAAGTCAAATTTAACCAATCTTACATGTGTTAATCTGCCTCTACGTAAAAGAAAAATGCTTCAGAAAATAGCAACAAGCTGACAGAATAACTTCCCTTCCTCTATCTACATGCACAGGGAACTGTCAGTACTCACTTTTTCAGCAAAATCTACAGAGTATGAATAAAACAATCTAGCTGTCTTGCTGAATATCACCAGAAACAAATGCACAAACAACTCTCTTAACCTAACTCGTATATTGGCATGTTATCTAGAAACCTGGGCCTTTCTCACAGTGGAGGACATGTTCAAATGATAAAAATTCTTATTACTGGAAAGGGGGGGGGGGGGAGCACCAGGTGTCCATTCTGTTAAGGGGGGTAAGGAAGTTGAGAAAGGGCTTATAATATGAAGTTGACTGGTTAATTAGTACTTTGGCAGCTACTTTTTTGTACACGTGCTTAACTCTTAACTCTTAAATCTGCCTTAACTAAACTCTAAATAACATTTATAAGTGCAAATTTACCTTGATTTCTTAGCAATCTCTTCCAACAGCGAAGCTTTCTCAAGCTTAAGTTTCATCATAGCTGTTCTCCCCATCTCCAATGCTCACATCCAAGATTACGATTTCCAGTCTCTAGTTTTACTCCAAAATAATTAGTAATTACACTAAGTCTATTAATCCTTCTGTCAAGGGCCAATCAAATCATAATGGAAAAAACAGTGTGTCCTAGATTGTCATGATAGAACAGCTCCTGTTTATCAGGCAGGAAGAATAAGATACAGCTTCGAGTCCTCTGATAACAAGCTGTCACCTAATTCTAAAATTTCAACTGTACACTTTACATTGGCTTGGGTTTGTTTCACTTTCCTTTCCCGTACTGTATCACTTTCAGCAAGGCTCTTATCTTCATGAACATTTTTCTACACTGATTCTAGGTCCAATGAAACTGTACATTCTCACACAATAATTCCTTCCCATTCTGAACAACTGTAGCTGTGTAATACGTTAAATCAGTCTAAATTTCAGCTAACATCCCATGTACATTAACTCGGATCCTGTTTTCCAAAAAAGCTTGTGCAATGGTTAACACACAGGAAGTGTGTGTACCGCTATATCTCTATGACAGCTACACCTATATGTACCTATGCCAGGATGTGTGTGTGTAGTGAGTTTCATAATACACATCCATCATTATAGTTCACATCAGTAGCCATCTCATCATGCCATTAATTGATATCCTAGTTCAGCTGTCACTGTCATTAATTGTAATAATGGAAGGTGATGAAAAATTGGGAGTTAATATGTCATAACCTCAGGGACGATGGGATGACTGAAGTTTCTCCCTTCCTTCTTAAAGAGGTCATTATCATCTACTGATATGATCAAGAAAAATTACTCTCCCAATGTCAGAAATTGTCATAAATCTGATTCCGGTCCTGTTAATATTTTGGTTCTATTCCAATACAAGGTTAATATAGTCCATATCCATACTTGTACTTGCAGTAGACCTCAATAGTCCATCTGATCCTACCATATAAAAACACTGTCAAAATCAGTCCACAGATTTAAAATAAAACCACGTTGACATCAAGAATTTTGTCCCCGAAGAAAGGTCACCATTGGCATCCACAAAAATAAAAACAGATGACACAATAAATATAGGTACCCCTAATAAATGTATGGTGCACCAAATAAACTGTCAATTCTTGTGTCCGGGTTTGTAAAAAAATATGCAATAGTGTCACCTCAACAGTATATATACTTGTATATACATCTGAATCACCCTTCACAAGTGCCCTCCTTCCTATGTTAGTTATTTTAGACAGTGAGTCATTAAAAACCAACCAGGCTTACAACTACCACACACTGAATTTCACTCAAGTTGACATATAAATGCTCATCTTTATCTTTTTTGAGCTNCACCTCAACAGTATATATACTTGTATATACATCTGAATCACCCTTCGCAAGTGCCCTCCTTCCTATGTTAGTTATTTTAGACAGTGAGTCATTAAAAACCAACCAGGCTTACAACTACCACACACTGAATTTCACTCAAGTTGACATATAAATGCTCATCTTTATTTTTTTTGAGCTGTTGATTTATTGACTAAAGGTTCATCAACAACTGCTAAAGTGATTTAACTTGGTTATGTTGTTTAGTCAATTTCAAAAATGACCAAATTCTTTTCTTTTTCTTTCATTTCAATCAAAGTTGCTTAAGTACTATCAACAAAAAAGTCACACAAAATAAAAACAAAATTACACAAAATACAAATTCCGTCAAAAACAATAAAAAAATGGGCCCGAAAAGCATTTAAAATCAGTATATAGCTATCTTCCAAATCTATGTCACGGGACAGCAGAGAAAGGTGGTACTGTCCGCAAGGAAGGACACAAATAGCCCTGACATAACCACAAAAATTGTGTCCTGTTTAAAATGCCCCTAAAAAGTGTCCAAAAAAGGGACATATTTGTCCGGTACAAATACTGACCATAAGTAACAAGAAGCACTCGACTGACACATTTAGATATGGTATTGTGTGTGCCAGTCTGTGGTTACAACAAAACCTATTCAACAACATTTGCTTATCATCAAACCTATATTTTCATCATACAGAATTTACTAATGTATCTCTGATAACTTACAGATCATAATGCAAAAAAAAGGGGGGGATTCCAAGACCTAATTTTTCAACACAATATGAAGCTGAACTTTCCAGCATTTTAAGAATTCTTAAAGAATTAAAATTGTCTTAATTTGATCTGAATGATGTAAAACTATACTGTTATTATCTTTCACCAAATATCTTTTACTGCACTGAGGTTACTGTGAAATTTTTCCCCCAAAAAATAATTACAGGTTATTACTAACAATGATGCTTTATACCGCCACTGGGTATTTCCTAAACCACTGACAAGTCAGAAAGTCGTGATGCTATCAAGTAGGCCTTTACAGTCTTAGTCACTGTGCAGGTGAAACAGTAGCATCAACATGTACATAAATCATTTTCGTCAACAAGCTGCTCTTTGACATAATTGATATCTACAGCACCTTATAGTATATGAAATTTTAATGTAATGGCCCTAAGTTTGCAAGGTGGAGACAACAGGAAACCTTCATAGCTCATTCTTTATTTGAATATTATATTAAATATCAAAGTTGCAACACTAGGGCAGGCTTTGAAAATTCAAACAAGACTTTGATGTGAACAGAAGCTATAACTCTAAAAACAATTAATCATTTGTGAATAGGCATTCATTAATTTATGCACAGTGTAGAATTGCATAAAATCAAAATTTCACTTGCATCTTGTAAATTTTCTGAGGAAATCTGTTAACATCATTAGATCCACTAATGATCTGTATCATGAACAGGATAACAGGACATAAACAAGTAAGGATCATAAGCTTCATTAGTGCTTATCATGCACTTCATGTACCACACTAATTTATGACTGAATGGGAATTGAAGCACATGTTCACACTGGGCATAGATGGATCACTTTCGAAATAATCCATATGCTGTAGTGAGTGCAAGGCATAATCAATTGATCCCTAATACATATGGTGTAGAAGTGTCCAGTAATCAACTACTCTTGCTAACAAAATCTCCAGCAAATAAAGATGGGTTGTGAAACGATCTGGTTTTGAACAGTGTGAATTCTCCTTCATTATGATTGATTGTCCAAATAAGTGCTGAATGTATGCTTTAATGATTTTCAATAATTCTGTATGTTAATGCCCCTGCTGGATTAATTATTGCAGTATTGTACTTTTTACTTATCAAATGTCACATTGACGCCAACGTACCAGTAGTCATATCAACAATTCAAGTTTTATCATGATATTTACATATAGATCACAGTATAACCATATCCAATTATTTTACAGCAGACGTTTTGATTCAAGAATGGGAATAAAATAAAATTTAAAGTGTCATATCTCAGTTAATTATATTAGATACCATCCAATCTTATTATTCTTAAGTTAATTAACTGATCAAGTTGGAACTGTATAAAGATCTCACCTTATGTGCCAATAAAAAAAATTCTACAAAGATATGTATTAGAATTTTAAAGTAATGATATCTATCATACTGGTTATTGAATGGGAATAAAAAAAAATTGAAAAATATTGCATGGATTCCTTAACAACCATTACATACAAATTAAATAAACCCATTGTTATTTTATCTACATGTACTTGATCACTTACAAATTCAGCTTGAAAATGACACTGTCCCCATTTTGACAATTTTCAATTCTTTTGTTTTGAAGAGATCACCATTATACCTTTCATACAAAAAAATCTCATGGAGATAACTTGTGTGCTCCTTTTTACCAACACCAGACTTATTAGTTTGAAACAAATTTTCAGCAACTAAAGCTCCATTCATTTGAATGTGTACTAAGTAGAAAGCTCATGAATATTTTCACACCCTGTGGACATCTGAACTCTTTTACTCCACTTTTTTT